TATAAAAAATTTGAGTATAATTTGTATATAAATAAAAAGTTCAGGTATTGCAACTGCAATTATTTCATTTTAATTTTGGCATTTTTTTACTTTTTTAATTGGACGACACGAGGATATTTCGAACAAAATGTTACAAATAGGGGGTTTTCGACGTTTTTTCATAGGTATGGAGTATATCGCACATGTACAAGTTTTTGAGGGTTTTTTGCTATTAATTCTATTCTTAAAGTATCTAATCATTGTATTAAAATTTGTAAATTTAATAAGTTTGATTTTTAGGTTAATAAAATGATTTTTGCTCTAGGAACGAGCCATTGACCTACCTCATTAGACTTTAAGCCCAGGGGCGGACGTAGAATTTTTGAGTTAAGGGAACACAATCAAACTTTAAAAAAAAAAAAATTGTAAGGAATTTTACATTCGAAAATTTGCCTCAAAAAAATCATACCACATGTAAATTTACATCCGAAAATATACATGTAATGACTTTTTTCGGATGTAAAATTTCGAAAAAGATTTTATGTAATTATATTGAGAAATTTTTCACGCAAAAATAATCAACGTTAATATAACAATTGAAAATTTTGGAAGCAAAGACGAGTTAGATGCCTATTTTTAAAACGCACATTTAACTATTTTCGATATCTGTTTAAACCATTCGATATGCCTATGATATAGTTCTCGAAACGAGCTTCGAGACAACATAGGCGATTTGTGGATTTGGAGAAATTTTAAAATTAGCAAGTTATCGAAATTCTCAAAATACTAATTTGCAACGACCTACTTTGACAAGCCCGTTTCGTGCGGCATCAATGACATAGACGGTTAGGCCGTGAACACTTCGAAATTGTATTTAAAATATAATATTTCGACTTCATGTAACATCCCGTAATGATTTCTAAAATTGAGACAAAAAAAAGTCTCAAAGTTGGGTCACGTGACCCCCTAGGCCACCCCTGCTTAAGTAGAAAGAAAGTTTGATTTTTACGTTAATAAAATATTTTTTACGTTTTGCTTATTAGTATGTGTTTTGTTTGCTATTCTTTATTTCCTCAACAATGATATATGTTGTAAATACGATGATGAATATAAATGGCACAATATGAAGTAAGTGCCACAAATGCACAAGAATAAAAGATAATTGTTTGAGGAATGGATAATTCACTAAAGGAGGTGTATTCAATTAAAAATTTTGAAAACTTTTGCGGATTTTGCTTAAGTGATGACTTCTGTAAATTTCGTGAACTTTTTATGAATTTCTATGAAATTATTGGAAGTCTTTCCCAGACTTTAATTTTAAAACTTTTTATAAACTTTTGTAAAATTCAATTTTTAAAAAAAACTTTTATTTAAAATAAAATTCATACGAGTCTAGAACAACAGTGTAAAATTCTCACATACGAGGTAGTGATCCCACATTTCTCTTTCATCTCCCCATTTAATAAAAAATAATTTTGAAAGAATAAAAACTTAATTCACTCTAATTAAATAAATAATAATCAAAAAATATATAAAGGTATTGATCTCCTAAGCTCTGATGCGCACACGCACACAAAAGAATTATCTATAATTTTGAATTACGAATATACATTTTTCTTAAAAAGTGACAAAAAAAGAAAAAAAAAAAGTTATAAGAATATTTAGTACAATTTAATGTTTTCATAGAAAATAGAAATAAAAAATAAAAGAAGGGGGGTGGAAGAAAATAGAAATAAATATATCTAGTAGAAAAAAAAAATTACTACGCTCTAATGTTCGTAGAAAGGAAAAAGAAAAAGAAATGTTGAAAGAAACAAAAAATACATATTAATTTTTTTTGTGAAAATCTCTCAAAATCTTGGGATGAATGAGACAAATTTTGAAATTTTATTTTAGTACATTCTGCTTGAAAGTTAACACCAAAGAGACTTTTACAAAAGTTTTTAAAAGTAATTAACATTTTAAATAACCAAAAATTTATAGAGATTTCTAAAAAAATTTATTTGAATACACTGTGACTTTTTAAAAGTTTATAAAAGTCTCGATGGAATGCACCAATACTTTTAGTGAATCTCAAAAATCTAAATTGAATATCCATAAACTTTTTAAATTTCGAAAAGTCTTTAAAAGTTCCAATTAAACACATCCCCTAAAATATGAAGAAAAAAATACAAAGATATTGTGTTTACAATATTGTTTAACTTGTCTAAATTGTAATCAAGAGCTAACTATATATATATAATGTTTCAAACCCCAAAAAATAGAGTTAACAGATAGAATTTGGGTCACAACGTAATTCTAACAATCTGCCTAACATATTGGCAACAATTACCACCCCCCCTGCCCACATTTAAATAATAAATAGTAGCTGTGATTGTGATTGTGATTGTGATTATGAAATACAAATTACAACATAACTTAATCTTAAATTATTCGTGGTCGAAGTAATAACGATTACGAATAGATCATCATGTGTGACATTTCTTACTTGCGAAATAAGTAACTGGTCTTACAAGTTAAAGTGTCGAGACACTTAAATGAACACGTGTGTGTTTTGTTATAGAACAAAACATTGGAGACCCGCCTTATATGAGGACAGTCATACTTTAGTGATATTGGATGTTGCTCTGGAAAGGGTCGCTAATACGGCATCGTTCGGGTATGTCAAGAATCATATAAAGATTGTGAATGATCAATAGAAGATTCGTCACTCTTAAATAATAAGAGATTATAATCTACATTCTATCCAGTTAAATTGATAATGAAATCCTTGACCAAGGTGAAACTATAAGTCAAAAAGGAGTTTTCGACTTACATTGATTTAACAGTGGAATAAAAGATATGATCGATAATTAAGATTGACACATATCCATATCTCGTAATCGATCGGGTCATATGGACAAAAAGATTATAGTTTCACGGTAAACGAACAAGTTTGGTTTTGTCACACCATGTGACATTTCCCGTCACATGTATGGCCCGACACATTGCTGGATATCAATCTAGAACGACGAATGTGAATTTGTGATAAATTAAAAGGGATATTTTAATTTATTGATTTTGATTAAATCAAAATTATAATTCACGTCGTTAGGCATCGTGATTGGGAATCTAACACAAAAGAGAACTAGAAAAATAAGATTCACCAATTAATAATTGGGCAGCTTATTAATATGACAAAATTAATTAATTGGATTAATTAATTAATGGATCAGATCTAATTAATTTGATTAATTAAATATTGGATCGGATTAAATTTAATAGACGGGTCAAGCTT